ATGAACAGGACGTGACTTGCCTTGCTCAGAAAAGATGTGGTGTGAGTGCAGGATTCCGGTCGTCCTCTTCTAAGGAGATGTGTTCGAAGGAGTCCTGCTTAAGTCTTCAGCGTAGCTGGGAGCAACGTTCTTTTGGGGCTTTTTTAGACCAGGGGCTTAGAGACGTCTGTGGTTCATACTCGCCTAACCCTGTATCTTGGAGGACGGCTTCTGTGCACCCGTCTCCCCAAATAATTTTATTTTTTCCAAAAGTTTTGCTGGAAAAACTTCTTTAAGCCCTTTGTTAGCAAGGTTGATTTTTTTAATGCACTAGAAGTGCTGGGGGAGAAAATTTCAGAACTGCCTTCTGTGTCTCCCTGAGAGCACGGAGAAAGATCTCCCAGCCTTTAAAAAAAATTGAAAAAAATCTTTGGGGTCCGTGGGGCATGTAGGCAACCTTCCACTTCTTGGTCGACTGGCTCAGAAATGAGGGTTGGGGGAGGTCATCTTCCTTTAAGTTCAGACCAAGCTCTCCAGGGTTCTGTTAGAATCAAGTCATTGTTTCCCTTGATTGGAATGTGACTGGGAATTGTTTAATCACTAATTAGCCAAAGAAGGAGGGATTTGCAGCACACGAGAGCAAGAGGGACGCCAGAGAAGCCGTGTGTCATAATGGCGAGAGTGTTGACTGGCAACATGGGAGCTTAAGGTTCTAGTCCTCAGTGAGCCATGAAACTCTCCGAGTGACCTTGGGACAGTCAAAACTGCTTTGCCACCATTTTCCTAGTATAAGGGAAAGTCCGGCTCCCCCATGAGGTTGCATTTAGCTCCCCTTTCCTTTGGTTTTTGAACCTCTTCTGCTGGTAGAGGTGGTAAAGGGGAGAAAGGAATGGAATTTCTGGTTTGGAAAGAAACCCATAGGAAGGCTTCCTTAAATGGAAGTGCCTGTTCTTAGAACTGGATAGAAACCATAGTGTTGTGAAGATGTTCTAGATGTCACAATGTTCTAGATGTCACAATGGAAAATGGCCAAAATCCTCTTAGCGCCACCTGTTGGTGAATTTGCCGCAAAGAAATTAAGGCACGTGAAGGGCAACTTGACATCTTAACTAGTAGGGATTCGCTAATGAGATTTTACATGGATTGTGTTATGCCGTCATAAAAACTGGACAGGATTTTTGCCAGATGTATGTTTTCTGCTGGACACTTTTTTATCTTTATTTAAATAGTTATAGGCTGCCTTTCTCCTAAAAGGATTCAAGGTGCCTTGCGGTATTAAAAGAAACAATATTAAAAGCTGAAACAATAAATGATTGCACCATTTAAAAAGACTGAAGTAAATATATTAACCGCTTCTAAGTAAAAGCAGTATTAAAAACACATTAAAAACAAGATGCACCTTTAAATAAATAAATAAATAAATAAATAAATAAATAAATAAATAAATAAATAAATAAATAAATAAATGTAGTTCGTAAATGAAATGGAAGAAAATACACAGTTTTAATTTCTAATTATTTAATTGAGACAATTGTTTATAAGAAGGCGTTGGTGCTTCATAAAAATGATCTTCAGAAATTCTGTAAAGAGACAAACTGTTCATTTCTTGGCAAACAGAAAAAAGGAATGAAAAACAAGGCCTTCTGTGCAAAGGAGCTATTTGAAATCTCTGCCCATGGCATACAATCATCAGCTCCAGATTCCATCTCTATGTATTACTAATGCTGTCGTGATGCTTACTTTGCATATCATTCTTGGTAAGACGTCACAACTTGCTGCAGAAGGAAGGAAGACACAATTTCTGGGCACATTGCTTCTCTCTTTTAGTTCTTGCAAGATGTTAAGAACATACTTGGAAATCTTTCAGACTCCCAGAGGGTTTAATTTGAAGCAGAAAATAAATCCACTCTCCCCTCAGTGCCACTGTGCTGTTTTATAAAAAGTACAGTGGCTTGACTGATGACACAACCAAAGAACACTAATTACTTCTGCAAGGTGGTTTCTGCACTGTAGACTCTACTGTGTAGAGGAAAGGTTTATCTCCTCACTTGTTCAGGAGCCTTTCTCTTCTCCTCTAGGAAAAAATATTGTCAGTGCATTAGAGACAAGAAACACTATGATTACTATCGGATCACCAGGGAGGCGAAACATCTTCCATTTGGTGTTTCTCCTGTCTGCAGCCTCCAGCTCTGGCACACGTATCCTTTGAAAACAGCACATCTGCTGTCTTAACACTAACATTTCTCAGTTCAGGAGTGGTTCACTGGCTGGATTCACCTCCCCACTGCCGTCTCTGGCAAGAACTCCTCTTTTTTTGAAAAATTGAAGGTCACCTTGGACGTTGTAGTCACAAGTGGGAAGCCCTGGACAAGCTACTGGGAAATAAAGCTACCCAGAAATTGGGAACAAGTTTGAGGGGAAAAATGATCAGGAGGTAATTGATTTAGGGGATTCTTTAATAAATAAATAAATAAATAAAAGACTCTCAGACCACTGGTTGCTCACGGAAAGCCATTCAAGGTGATGAACTGATGGTGGAAGGGCAGAATCCCTTGGAGAGCGCCCCTAAAGTCTGCACTAAAACCCGGAGCAGATCCACTGCCTCTGTGGAAACGGAGTCACCCAGTACCCATGGCCAAGCCCTTTAAGGACCAGCCTAAGGGGTGAAGTGTCATTTTTCCAGTAGCTCCCCTCAAATTAGGCTATTGGAAAAAGAAAGTTTAAGGGAAACTAGGAACCAATGTGTGTGCAAAAGAAGTTCTCTGCTAGTTTTGATTCTGGTTCTGCTCCAGAGGCACCTTATCTTTTGAGTCACCTCTTCACATCTTCCTCTGCCTGGTGGAATTCCATGTGCTGGTGAAGAACACTGTCTCTCCCTTCCGCACCCGAAAAGAAGACCGTGCAAGCTTGACGCCTTTCCACCCTTGTTTGTAATTAGATTTTTGCACACACACCCCGGAACGGTGTAAGTTGGTGGACTTAAGAAAGTGGGTTTCATGGGCCCCGACTCAGCTGTTGGCGCAGGTTGGAATCTGACGGGTGGGGGCTGTCCTCGTTCTCTTTGAGCTTTCTGAAAGTTTGGAAACGTTATCTCTATGCTGTCCCCCCCAGGAACCTACGATTTCCAACCCTCTTCGTCAGCCTGCTGGCCGAGGAGTGTTGCCCTGGGATTTGTAACTCAAAAAGGTATCTTCTCAGTGCCATGAGGACACACAAGAATGGGCTCGAATTACAGGAAGTCAGATTTAGGCTGAATATCAGGAAAAAACTTCCTTACTGTTAGAGCAGTACGACAGTGGAACTGATGACCTTGGGAGGTGGTGAGCGCTCCAACACTGGAGGTATTCAGGAAAAACTTAGATAATCACCTGACAGAGATGCTTTGATTGTACTCCTCCCTTGAGCAGGGGGTTGGAGTTGATGGCCTTAGAGGCCCCCTTCCAGCTTCATGATTCTATGAATTATTTTCCAGCCCTGCTTTTGCTGAAATGTATATGACAGCTAGCTCAGAAGTTCTGGAAGCATGTTAGTGCTGGGGAGAGGTCTGAATTTCCAAACATCAGGCTTTGAAGGAATCCTGTCCTGAAAACCAGTTATTGAATACATCAAGCTAAGTTGCCTGGTTTCTGGGAGATGAGAGGCATTTCCTGCTTAAGGATTTTCCTCTTTCAATGACGGGCTATCTATAACGTCTTAATTTTGCCCTGAGCGTCGTTCAACAGGGGAGATGCCAGACACTGAAGCTGGGACATTGTGTGGCAGCTTCTCTCACTCAAGATACCTTTCATCTTTGAATTCGGGAGCCGTGCACTGGGAAAACTAAGGCCTGCTATGCGGGACAGGGAGATGCAAGGCGTCTTCTGCCCCCTTGCCTGCCTGAACCATTTTTTCTTGGCAGGAAAGGTTCCTTCCTGACTTTAAAAGAATCCTGACATGCTTGCATAGAATGGGTTGCTAGGGAGGGAGCTTTGTCCTCTTTTAAGGGGAGTGGGCCTCATGCTGTACGGTCCTCGCTGGGACACTCTTGATCTCTTGACTCACCCGTCCCTCTCAAAGGACGCTTTCTTTCCTTCCCTGGGAATCTGGAGGACTCTGTTTTCATCGTTGACTGGAATTGTCCCTCGCATAATAAGACCTGGGGAGAGCTTTTGTTGCTGGTTGCTTTTGTCCAAAGTCTTGGGAACCTCCCCATTCCCTGTGTGCGTGCGTAGACGCACGCGTACCAATAACGCATTATTTCTTCTGTGCAACCCTCCGTTCCCTTCTCTGCTTGAATTCCACAGCACACCCTTTTTGTGCACATTTATTGAGTTCCGTTGAATTGACTCCCGAGTAAAATAGCTTCGGCTTGCAGCCGTAAGCCCGAGGCGAATGTATAAAAGATCGTTCAAAGCAGGCATTGCTAGTCTGAGGTCCAACAGGTGTTGTAAAGGTTTTGGAAGGACCAAGAAACCTAATGGACTCGTTTTCCAGAAATAAAATTGCAGACTGCTCTTCGTGCTTCTTTTTAAAAGCCCTCTTCAGCTATCAAGGGGGATGTGTGGGAGAAGAGACAAGAGCTATTTCGTCTGTCCAAAAATGCAGTAGGTGGTAAATACACGTGCTTGGAAATAGGTTTACATGCCTATTGGTTTGGAATGTGGTTTAAGTCAATATCCTTACAATGCCGTTGGTGGAATCAGCCGTTTTCCAGCTAAAATCAAGTTTGCAGGATAATGCCATTCTCGCAAACTTCTTGTGTCGGAGACGTAAGGAATTTCCATTATCTATTGCATGTTTTGTACATGTGGATTAATTGAGATAATCTATGTGATGCATTGAAACATTTTGTGAAATTATCAGATAAGTACTAAACCTTATTGCTAACCTCTAAAGTGAATTGCCTTTGAACGCCCAGGCCATTAACCTTTGAAGATTAAAATTAATTTCTGCCTTTCAACTGCAAGCGTGAGGACTAGAGAAAGCCCCATGTTCTGCCGGCTGCCTGTACTTAATATTCTAAACCGTGGCGTCTTCCTTAGCAGGGCTGCGATCCGTTGGCCCAGTCACAGCGCAGTAAGTTACAACACCGTCGGGCGCGGATCAACCAGCAGATCAACAAAGAGATGAGGATGCGAGCCGGCGCAGAAAACCTCTTCAGGTTGGTTTCCATCCTTCTTTTATCTGTTGTTAAGATCTTTTCATGGTTAAGGACCTCTTTCTCCACAACAGGGAACGCTAGAACTCTGCTCTTGAACCCAGGAATGGAAAATTTTTGGGAGCCAACTCTGAAGCAGAATACATGCTCATTTCCTTTCGTTTTGCACCCACAGCCAAAACATAGTATTTTTGCTGTTGCAAAGCATCTCTTAGTTGTACGTTTTGGAGTGGGTTGGTTTCCTTTGGCTCTCTGGATTTTTCTCTTAAAGTGTTTGGTTCTTTTGCAACCTTGGGGTGGTTTTTGTGTGTGTTAATACAGTAGAATCCCTCCCCCCAAGTACAGGATCAGTATCTGCTGAGTCACTTATCTGCTGTTGGAAAATATTTAAAAAATCTAAAAGAAAAATCCTAGAAATACCGTATATGTTCCTCTAGATGACCTTACCAGAACTGGCCACTAGAGGGTACCAGAGACTGTGCTATGTACAGTAGTGCCCCACATAGCGAGGTTAATCCCTTCCGGATTAACCTTCGCTATGGGAAAACATCGTAAAACGGATCCAAAAAACCCATTAGAACTCATTAAACAAAGTTTAATGTGTTCCAAATGGGCCCAAAACTCACCGTTCTCCAATGTTTTCCCTTGTTCCAGCAGCCATCTTGGGTGTACCGGTGGCCATTTTGAGCGTCCTGGCGGCCATTTTGGGTGTACTGTTGCCCAGTTCTTTTGCAACCTTGGGGTGGTTTTTGTGTGTGTTAATACAGTAGAATCCCTCCCCCCAAGTACAGGATCAGTATCTGCTGAGTCACTTATCTGCTGTTGGAAAATATTTAAAAAATCTAAAAGAAAAATCCTAGAAATACCGTATATGTTCCTCTAGATGACCTTACCAGAACTGGCCACTAGAGGGTACCAGAGACTGTGCTATGTATATTGTTCACGATTAAAATAGTGTTTATTTTATTTATTTATTTAATTTATATGGCGCCCAATCTACCCAGAGGTCTCTGGGCAGCTTACAATAATTTGGTTTGTTTTGTATAATCCGTGTTTTTTAGCATCCGCTGAACTGGACCACTGTGGATACGGGAGGTGGGTGGGTTCCTGCTTTACCTCTCTCTTTTGATCCACAGTAGAACAATTTTGTTGACCATCCCCCTGGCACTCCCCAGTTCAGTTCACTGTTAGAAGGAATAATATAAGACATAGCTATATTTCCACGGACACAGTAAAGTGTGTACAGTTTTAATTTTTTCCATGTTGCCATAAAGAACATACTCTGCACAGAAAATTCAGCTAAGAATTTATATATGGACAATACAGCTAGTAATGTGCTATATTCGCTAAATACCTGGAGCGGTCAAACTATACTTGGTGATTCCAAGAATATAGAAAAGACTCATTTCCTTCCCGAAGTGGTTATAGTTTTCAAGGGGAAGGAGTCGGGGGCGTTTGTACCTCAGCAGGAGTGAAAGTTAGGGAACAGGGAACTGGAGGAAGAAAAACATGGCCTTTTGAGAGAACTAAATTCTTGGAAGTTCGGTATGTTTTGTATTTTCAGCAGATGGAAATTGTGTTACGTTGCTGAAATAATGCAAAATGTGAAAATTTTTATTTATTTTATTTATTTATTTGCTATTTTCCAAAATTTTTATTTTATTTATTTATTTATTTGCTATTTTCCCTTTGGATTCCGAATTCCTTTGTGGCCAGTTCTCAAGGGGCTGTTCTTTTAAGGCTGCAGGATTCTGCCCAGGGACCACTGCAAGTCAGGATTTATGGCAGTGATACCGGCACTAGGGCGGTCATGGCCCAAAGTGGGGTAACCTGCATGAGACAGCCAGTTCTGTCTGGGGCCTCCTACTCAGCTGAAGGAGAGCATCTTACAGTGGGCCATGTCTGTGAGTGTTTGGGGTGGCAGGCTGGCCGGCAGGCCGGCCGGCCGGCCGGACGGGTTGGCATTAGCAGAAGAGTGGCCATGATGTTGGTAGAAGACTTTGTGCGATTCGTCCAGGAAGGGGAGTCGATCCAGTTTGCCCTGTGATGGTACCAGGCTAAACGTTTATACATCATGATGATGTTTCCGTAGAGCTGTTCCAAGATTGGACATTTCCTTGCCTGGCAAAATTCAGCCACGTCAGGGCAAAGGGAGAAGATGCGGGCAGGTGGATTTCCTTCTGGAAAGGAAAACTAAAGGGGTAACACCGGGTGTGCTGCCGACTCCACCCACAACTCCCTGTGAAGCTGTAAAATCATCACAGTTTTGGTTTGTAGAATTTGGGTTTTGGAGGGGGGGACCTCTTTTTTTTTTCTTACCATGGCAGGGAAAAGCAGTGACAGGAAATGGTTTAGGGCACCCTCCTTGCGTCTTGGCACCGTCCTGGCCAGGGGGTCAGACTACAGCCCCCATCGGCCCCGACCAGCATCACCGTTGCATGATGGGAGTTGTAGTCCGACACAGGTCGAAGGTGCCAGATTGGAAGAAGGTTGATTACCCTGGTGGGGGTGAGCGGCGTGGGGTTGAGCTGCTCACCCCAGCTTTCCTCTTGACCAGTGGCCACCAGTGGTCGAGAGCTGAAGGCAGTGACCCCTTCCTGCAACAGAGAGTCCTGACCGGTTGTGGGTGTGATTCATGAGTTCTTGAGTGCCAACCCGATCTTTTCCTAGGGCTGCTCCATGGCAGAACTTGGTTCTGTGTATGTGTGTGTGTGTGTGTGTTTGCAGGAGAAATGTGTCAGAATCAAGAAATCAGGGAGATAATGCCGGCTCTCCTCCTGGACGTTTGTCTGCTTCTTGATGTCCGTGGGATCACAAAGGCGGGGGGGGGCTGAGCCTCTGGGGGAGATGAAGAGAAGGAGCCTCCGTGTGAGCTGTGAGGTTCCCCTGTTTTCTGTGCCGTGGAAAGGACGGAACGCCAATACGCTAGGAAAATGGCGTTCCTGCCAGAGTTTTTTTTTTTTTGGCAAGCGATTCCCAGCAAGAGGAGTAAAGAAGATTGAAGGAACTGGGGGGGTGGGAAGTGGGGAGGTATTCTGGCTGGGCCTCATAAAGCGATGAAGAAGCTATGAAGTAATTAAGGAGCAGCCTCTGAAGCGGATGTTCAAGGATTCGTAACGACCTTCCCGGGTCACTGAGCCCAACCTGCCTTTCCGGGGCTCTTCCTAAGAGGCCTCTCTGGGTGACGCGTCATTTGTGAGCATCCCAGTCACAGACTCAACGTGGGTGTCGGGGCTCCAGAAACATCGTCCCCCCCATCAGAAACTGCATTTTTAGGGATGGGGGCCAGGGGAGGGAATGGCCCTGTTGCATCCTGAAAATGAGCTTAGACGGCGTGGATTCTTGCAGCTGGAGGAGGCTGATGGGACTAAACGTTTCTTGAGAGGGCCACCTTCACCCTGCGTAAAAAGGTTGCGTGCCAGAGAGAAGGATGCTGGCTGAGCCGTGTTCCTGGAATGCTAGTGCAGACGTAGTTTGCGAGGTTCACATCCTTTCGTCTCCAGTGTGAAAGACTGGGATGGTCAAGGATGGGAAGAAAACCCTTCTTTTGCCGAAGACCTGGGTTAATAGTTAGCAATACACGTGCTTGCCATCAAGTCAACGTTGGCTTAAAAACCTTTCCAGGACTTTCTAGTTAGAAGGTGCACAAAAGTAGGTTTCACGTTTCCTTTTTCTTGGGGGGACCCTGGAACTGTGCAGCTTGCCCGAGGCTACACAGTCGGTTGTTGTTGTTGTTTTTTTCCTCGGCCCCCAGGGACCCAACTCACTGAGCCACCCAGCCAGCAGAGCTGAGCTCAGTGGAGCAATCATCGTATCGGGCGTAACAGAAAAGCTGTGGATGTTTCAGGCTTCGGACTGGTTCATATATCCACGTTTACTGGGACCAATTTGTGAGTGCTCTGTCTGAAAAAGATCTTTCGCTACAGATGGAAATGTCATAACCCTCCAGACAGGCTACTTGTAGTGGGAGAAAGCATTTTTGGGGGGGTAACCATTGCAATGTCTGGAAGAAGGCTACTTGTAGTGGGAGAAAGCATTTTTTGGGGGGTAACCATTGCAATGTGTGGAAGAGTGGTCATAACGACCAGATAAGTGGGATAAATAGAATGAATGAATGAATGAATGAATGAATGAATGAATGAATGAATGAATGAATGAATGAATGAATGAATGAATGAATGAATGCATAGGCATCCTTCAGTCTCGAGAGACTATGGTAACATGCTCTGAATTGAGGAGTGTCCTCTCCAGAGCATGAAGCCCGGGTAAAATAATATGGAGGATAGGCTGTTACCCAAGCAGCAGATCCCCCCTCTCCACATTGCTGAAATGGTCCAATGGAAAAGCAAGAGCCAATACAACTGGTTCCAGCAATGTCGCAGGAGTTGGCAGGAGTTGAATGAATGAATGAATGAATGAATGAATGAATGAATGAATGAATAAATAAATAAATAAATAAATAAATAAATAAATAAATAAATAAATAAATAAAATCCCAGCTCTGGAATTTAGAGTATTAAAAAGTTAACACTACTCACCGCTGAAGCTTCTCAGGAAAGTCTATTCCACCGCTTCAGATGTGCAGGAATCAATCTAAACTAGCCGTTCCCAACCTTGGGTAGCCCAGATGTTCTCGGGCTACGACTCCCAGAAGCCTTTGCTCCTTGCAGTTCTGTCCAGGATTTTGGGGAGTCGTAGTCCAAGAAGGGGACGACCGAGGACGAGATGGCCGGACAGTGTCATCAAAGCGACCGACATGACTTTGACCCAACTCCGGGAGGCAGTGGAGGAAAGAGGGGCCTGGCGTGCTCTGGTCCATGGGGTCACGAAGAGTCAGACACGACTTAACGACTAAACAACAACAATAAGTCCAAGAACATCTGGGGACCCAAGCGCTATTGGTCTGAACCCTTTGGAAGTCCCAAAGGCGAGACCCACTGCCATACAGCATCCCTGATCAAAAGCCGAGAGAGATTCCCACTGCCGCTGCCTAATTCCCAGCCAGAGTAGCTCTGAGACCTTCAGTCTTAGAGCAGGGTTAGAGGGAAGAGATTCGGTCAGCCTGGCTAGTCGCCACCAAAAGACAGAGCCAATGGTGTGTGTACTGAGTCCGTGAAAGAGGCGTTCGTTGTGCTGGTGGCCTTTTTTCTTCGGGTTGGTTTGTCTTCTCCAAGAGCAGCAGTGAAGGGATATTTCTCCGCTGTTGCACCTCTTGAGTTTCAAAGCGTTCACGAGCGGCAAGAAGCAAGAAGCATCGTGAATTTAGAAGGGTGGGGGTGTTGGACGGAGAGGCGGAAACCCCGAGCTGAGAGCCCACTTGTTCTTTAATGGTGCAGTGGAAAGATAATGGTGGATGATGGCCATTGCAGTCCAGCAATTTCTCGGGGAGTGTGTGGGTGTTTGTGTCTGTTTTCTGCTCCTGCTGCTGACTCACCCGGTGGTCATAAGGCAAGGTGTCTCCTCCGAGCAGAGCCTGCCTCGGAAGGGTTCAGGAAAAGAAGGCGTGAAGGGATCTCTCCGCTCTTTGGCGGACTGACTGGTGGAGGGTACAAATTCAACGAATCAACTGCAAGTGGGTTTTTGTTCTCTTGCTGCTAACTCCAGGGCCACCAGTAACCACAAAGTAAAGGAAACCGTTGCCTTAGAACTCAGCTACGTCAATTCCAACCTGCAGCTTCTGAAGGAGGAGTTGGAAGAGCTGAACAGTTCCATGGATGTCTACCAGAACGACAGGTAAGGATGGGGGCAGTTTTTGGGCAGGGCTGGCGTCGCGTACGAACATACCCAAGGAGCTGCATTCTCTTGAGTGAAGACAGATGGGCCCCATTTGCCCAAGGGGGGGGGTCTTCCTTCAGCGAGTGATGGTTTTTCAGGGTCTCAGGCAGATGGGGCCCCTTGGCACCCTGTCCCTCCTCCAGCTGCCTCTTTTCCCTGGAGAGCCATGGAAGTCAAGTGCAGACCTTCTATGAGCGTAGCTGCATTGCACGGTCATACCAGATCAATGCTGCTGATCTAAGGTGGGCCGGTGCTCCACCTGTCATCTTCACATGCTCCAATTCCCTGAGTTCCTCGTTTGCGAGAAACCATAGTTTGTTGTTGTTACATAATCAATCTGACCATGGTTTGAACAAGCCATGGTTTACATCCTTCCTGTGGAATTCTGCGATTCGTGGTTTAGGTGAGGCTCAAGGAAGTGTCGTTCAAGGAAGTGTCCTAGAGATTTTTAGCAAGGCATTCCAGGAAACCCACCAAAATGACAGATCCCGGAATTCCATAGAATGGGGCCATGTTGGTTACAGGGGTATTGAGCGGCTGTAAACAGTGTAATGTAGACACACGCTCTCCTTGCCAAGCTGGGATTCTGCTCCCGGAATTCCATAGAATGGGGCCATGTTGGTTACAGGGGTATTGAGCGGCTGTAAACAGTGTAATGTAGACACACGCTCTCCTTGCCAAGCTGGGATTCTGCCATCCCGGAATTCCATAGAATGGGGCCATGTCGGTTACAGGGGTATTGAGCGGCTTGTAAACGGTGTAATGTAGACACACGCTCTCCCTGCCAAGCTGGGATTCTGCCACTGAACAGCCCTTCGGCTTAACAGCCGGTAGTGGGGGGGGAACGTTTCTCTTTTATGGTTGTTGTGGGTTTTTCGGGCTCTTTGGCCATGTTCTGAAGGTTGTTCTTCCTGACGTTTCACCAGTCTTTGTGGCCGGCCTCTTCAGAGGACTGGAGTAGGAACTCTGTCCATGCTCTGTTGCTGTTTGTTGGATAGTTGAGTATTTATAGCTGTGGGAACAGCTTTTGTCCTTTTCAGGAGATAGGGTGATGATGGTGATCAGCATGTTTTTGTTGTGACCCGAAAATGGCCCGAAAAACTCACAACAACCATCAGATCCTGGCCGTGAAAGCCTTTGAGAATACATTTCTCTTTGATCCTTGTTCCTTCGGGGCAATTAGGGAGGGAGAGTTAGCAGAGCGAGGAAGTCCTGGGGGGGGGGAATCTCAGGAGGAATCATGTCTTTGAACCCTCCAAGTTGACTCCTCCACTGAGTAGCTCACCAGTTTGGAAGGGCATTTCCAGAAATATTCCTGGACAAATGATGTCCCGGGAGATGTTGGCCTGGGGCATTAGATTTGGGTTGTTTCCATGTGTTGTGCTGCAACCCCCTCCATGGCCAGCCCGCTTTGTCATTGAGGATGATGTGAGATGGAGTCCCAGATACCCAGAGGGGGCACCTGGCAGGAGGGGCAGCATCAACCATCATTCTTCTCTGGGCTGGGGAATTGGCCTGGTGCCTTCCCACCCTCTTCTTCCATCCTTGACCACAAGTGAGAAACAGTTACCGCACTGCTCTCACGGAGATGCTTTTGTCTTTCCCATCCTCCGTAAGCCGTTCCTGGAAATTTTTCAGAGCTCCTGTGTTTCCTGGATCACAGCCTTGACAAACCACTCCTTGCCACATAACTGCGGCACCAGGAAAAAAAACACACACACCTCACAGCGTGCTTGCTTACTTGCTGGAGGTGTGTGTTTAAACAGCTTGAGGGGTCAGGAGCCCTTTTGTTATTCCAGGGTTAACTTTCCCTGCCCTGTGCAAACAAGGTGTTGCAGGATGTTTGAGCTGCTTCCTTCTCCTGCTTGTTGGTAGCCAACTGTGTTTCTCCAGGAAATGCGAATATTCCACCCACGAAGGATAACCTCATGGTTCTTGTTGACATGGTCAACCGAGGATGGGCCTGCTCTGTGCTTAATAGGTTGGATTTTGTGCTGGAGAGTGGAGGGTAAGTGAGGTCCCAAATGGATCAAGGATCGTATTAATTCAAATGCAGCCCATGTCATTGGGTCTGGAAGAGGACAATAACCCAGAGTTGATATGGTCCCCATAACAACTCCCATAGAACCACCGTTCTGTGAGACACATACCTGGGAGGGAGCCCACTAGATTCAATGGGATGTAATAGATGTCGGATTGGATGGCAGGGTTTATCCTGGAATGGCCTGACCAACTGTGATTAAACCTTTAGGCCTGGCTGGGAAAAATAATAAACAAGCCACGATTTCGGCTGTCAGTCATCAACGCATAGATTCAAGGGCTTCTTTCTTCTTGTTGTGCCCTCCAAGCTTTTCCTGATTTTCAGCAAACCGTAATTTGAAGTGGGTTTTTCATTTTTGCTGTGGAGGTAAACCATGGCTTGTTCAAACCATGGTCAGATTGATTATGTAACAACAACAAACTATGGTTTCTCGCCAACAAGGAACTCAGGGAATTGGAGCAGGTGAAAATGGCAGGTGGAACTACAGTACACCTTAGAGCACCTCAGGGACGGTGTGTGAGCTGTGGACAGGTCCCTGGTTCAAATACTGTTTACGCCACACTCACCAAATAGCATTAGATAAGCCAGTATCACCCATCCCTCTGGAGGATGAAGAAAATGCATGGGGGCAACGACTCACAAAATGTTTGTCTCGTCTGTGACTAAGGGTAATTTGTTTTTGTAATACTTGGCTGGAGTTTCTTCTTTCCAAGATCAGCGTACCTAAATCATAAGAGGCTTTGACAGCAGATGAGCCCTGGGGCACCTCAAAGACTAACACATTTTAATTACCCCCCTGCCTCAACAATCACTGTGAACCGTACCCCACTTCATCAGATGTGCTCCCTGTTCTTTTAACTCCTTGCCTGTTCCCGAGAGGAGAACCGCTGACTCATGGGGAATTGCATCTACTTTGCCTCCACTTTCAAGAATTAATTCCCGGGATTAATTCCCGGGCTTTGCCCGTTATGAACCTGCTCATTTCATCCGTTCGTTTTTTTCCCCGTCTTCCTGGCTTCTTGTTGTTGTTGTTCAACAGGAGTCTGGCTTTGGTTTGGTTTGATTTCATTTGGGTTGTGTGTGTTTGTTTGTTTGTTTCATTTCGTTTTCCTTTTGTTTTAAGCCCCATCTTGCCGAGAAAGAAGTCGCTGCCCCGGCTTCATCTCCTTAAGGGCTCATCCTGCCAGTGAGCTGGTTTGGTGCTCAGCCTCAGCAAATCTCCTTTCTTCTATCCTTGTGGAAAAAGACGAAAATCCCTCCGATGCAGCCTCAGACTTATTTCAGTTGGAAATAGTCTCCCTCCTGCTTCGTTTACGGCTGGGTGTGTCTTTGTGAATCGTCTGCCCTCGAGGGCCCTTCTCTTGCTCCGAAGCCCCTTCTTGCGTGCACTGTAGAGTCTTCTGAGTCTTCTATGATTCTGTTCATATATTTGTTCATATTTTTTTTAGCTCTGCAACCCACCCAGGGTAAAGAGAAATAGTACCAAAACAATCCAGCCATTGACTGCAGTTTAAAACTAGAACGCACCATGGGTCTATTTAAAAAAATTACAGTGGTGCCTCGTTTTACGATCGCTCCGTTTAACGACGAAACCACATTATGGCGAACTTTTTGCGATCGCTTTTGCGATCGCTTTACGATGTTTCCTATGGGGGAATTTTGCTTTGCGATGATTGGTTCCCTGCTTCGGGAACCAATTCTTCGCAAAATGATGATTTTCAGACAGCTGATCGGCGGTTTCAAAATGGCCCCCGGTAAACAAAATGGCCCCCGCTGTTTTCTGGGACGGATTCCTCGCTGCACAGGCAGCAAAAATGGCCGCCCTATGGAGGATCTTCGGTGGACGGTGAGTGTCCAGCCGATCGGAACGCATTAAACGGGTTTTAATGCATTTCTATGGGCTTTTTAATTTCGCTTTACGATGTTTTCGCTCTACAGCGATTTCGCTGGAACGAATTAACATCGTTTAGCAAGGCACCACTGTATGTGTGAATGCACTGATACACACCCATCTTGTTGGAAATTAATAATACAGTGGTGCCCCGCATAGCGAGGTTAATCCGGAACGGATTAACCTTCGCTATGGGGAAACATCGCTATACGGAACGGAAAAGCCCATTGGAATGCATTAAACTTCGTTTAATGGGTTCCAAATGGGCACAAAACTCACCGTTCTGCGATGTTTCCCCCATCCGGCCGCCATTTTCGCGCCCTCGGTAAGCGAGGGCAGGGCGCAAAAACACTGCGCGCGGCCATTTTGGGCATCCGCCGGCCATTTTGGAACCGCCGAAGAGCTGATTAAAACAATCGCTAAGCAAAAATCGGTAAGCGGAACGCTTACTGATTGTTGCTAAGCGATTTTCGCCCATTGGAACCATCGGTATGCCCTTCACATTAGCGATCCAAAAAACGGATCGCTATGCGAATTCGTCATTATACGGTGCGTTAAGCAAGGCACCACTGTATAATAATCAGGTACCATCAAGTCAGTTCTGAAGACCCTTTCCAGGTAGAGAGTACTCAGACGTTGTTTCCTCTTCCCTTCTTCTGGAGAGAAATCCTAGGGCCTTGGAACCATCGGTATGCCCTTCACATTAGCGATCCAAAAAACGGATCGCTATGCGAATTCGTCATTATACGGTGCGTTAAGCAAGGCACCACTGTATAATAATCAGGTACCATCAAGTCAGTTCTGAAGACCCTTTCCAGGTAGAGAGTACTCAGACGTTGTTTCCTCTTCCCTTCTTCTGGAGAGAAATCCTTGGACCACTGTGTACAGCTGGCCCAAGGCCACCCAGGCTGGCTTTTCCCCTAGGAGGCCCAGTGGATGAATTGAACTCCCAACTTCTGGTTCTGCAGCCGGAGACCTAAACCACTGATTTCTCCAGCCAGTGGTCCTCTTGGAGATTTGTTGTTGTTTAGTTGTTAAGTCATGTCCGACTCTTCGTGACCCCATGGACCAGAGCACGCCAGGCCCTCCTGTCTTCCACTGCCTCCCGGAGTTGGGTCAAATTCCTGTTGGTCGCTTCGATGACCCTGTCCAGCCATCTCATTCTCTGTCGTCCACTTCTCCTCTTGCCTTCACTCTTTTCCAACATCAGGGTCTTTTCCAAGGAGTCTTCTCTTCTCATGAGATGGCCAAAGTATGGGAACCTCAGCTTCAGGATCTGTCCTTCCAGGGAGCACTCAGGGTTGATTTCCTTCAGAACGGATAGGTTTGTTCTCTTTGCAGTCCAGGGGACTCTCAAGAGCCTCCTCCAGCACCATCGTTCAAACGCATCCATTCTTCAGCGGTCAGCCTTCTTTATGGTCCAGCTCTCACTTCCACACATGCTAGAAACGGTTTCCGCCCCCAGCATCTCCTCAACCGGGGCAGCCAGAAATGGACAAAAAGTGAGGGAAGGGGGAGGGAGGATGAGAACGGAAGTGATCAGGTAGCCACATCTGGTTTGAAGTTTTTGATTTGGGGGGGAGGTAGGGCTTGGGAGGGCCCTGTGCCAAAAGCGGAGGGGGAGAATTAAAAATAAATAAATTGAGGGACTTGGAGGAGCCAGAGTGGAGACCTCGGGAATGACCTTGGAGCTGCTTTGCAGTCTGCCAACGACTCTTTGTCTCCTCCTGTTCTAGCCTTCAGTCTAGATGGGCAGGGTATAAACTGAATAAATAAAACAAATAAGTAGAACTTCCCTCAGCTTCTCCATCCACCGCACCTCCCTTTCTCCCATCTTTGTTGAAACGGGTGAAGCCTAGCGGTTTTCCAGCTTTTCTTGCTTTGGGAACGTGCCACACGCACACACACGCACACACACACACACACAGGGAGACAGCCACCGTATTGGGCAAAATCTACCCGAAACAAAAACGGGTGGCCCTTTAAAGACTTAACGATTGTATTGCAGTGTGAGCTTTTGTGGACCATGGTCAATTTTTCAGACCGGGGGGGTGGGGGGAAGGAAGGGGATGAATTTTTTTTGAAGGATGCTGCCCGGTGCAACAGAAAATAGGTGCCCCTGACTCCTGATTTGCAAGTGCAATCTTCGGAGGTACTTAATGGATAACAAAGGGAAGCGGGCAGTTTGTATGTATTTATTTTATGCATTTTTGCCACCCAGCGTTTGATCCGTTCCTCTCTTTTAGCGACTCCATCAGTGTCCCCATGATTCCGTTGGGGCTCAAGGAGACCCGGGAGCTGGACTGGGCCTCGCCCCTGAAGGTAAGGGATCGGCCTGCCAGTCGGAGGATGTGGTGAGCCGACCTCCTTCCTGCGTAGGACGGCTCACGCTTCCCAGCCTTCCAATGCTTGGTCAAGTTACTCTGAACAGATGAACCCTATTTGGGCGTTCCGTATCCATTGCCATCATGACCTGTCAGGGGAGTGCTCTCGCCTGGCCTCCCTCTACCCTCTCATGTCGCCCTTCTCCTGCAAATGAAAAGCAGGGCTTGTGTTGTCGGCACTTCAAAGATTATTTATTCATTTATTCATTTATTTAACTTATATGCCACCCACACTACCCAAAGGTCTCTGGGTGGCTTACAACAATTAAAATACAATAAAAAAGATAAAACAATTAAAATATACAGTGGTGCCTCACTTAACGAGCGCCTCGTTTAATGATGAATCCGCATAGCGACAGATTTTTTGTGATCGTTTTTGCTATCGCATAACGATGTTTCTAATGGTAAAACATTGCTTTGTGATGACTGGTAAGCTGTTTCGCTTACCGATTTCCGCAAAGCGATGTTTTAAAAACAGCTGATCAGCGGTTCCAAAATGGCCGCCGGGGAAAAAATGGCCGCCCGCTGTGTTTTCGCGCCCATTCCTCGCATACCGGGCAGCGAAAATGGCGGCCGTATGGAGGATTTTCGCTTAAAGGTGAATTTTAAGCCCATAGGAACACATTAAACGTGGTTTAATGCATTCCTGTGGGATTTTTCTTTTCGCATAGCGACGAATCCGGATAGCGACGATTTTTCCGGAACGGATTATCGTTGCTATGCGAGGCACCACTGTAATTAAAATATAGACCCTAAAAATTGCCATCAGGACCCACAGTTGATATTATTTCAATTAAAAGCCTTCTGGAACAGGAAGGTTTTGACCTGGCGCGGAAATCTCATCAGCGCCGGCGCCAGACGAATTTCAGTCAGGAGGGTGTTCCATAGTCTGGGGGCAGCTGCCGAGAAGGCCCTTTGTCTACAAGCCCTCCCTTTTACCTCCTTGAGGGACGGCTCTTTCAAAAGGGCCCCCCTGGCTAGATCTTAACTGCCGGGTAGGCTCATATGGAAGGAGGCGGTCCTTCAGGTAGATTATTGTGGTTTTGAACGACAGTCTCCAGAATTCTCCCTGGCAGCATGGGTGTTGAAACTGCAGTCCGTGGAGGGTGGAAGAATAAACTCTGAGAAAGACAGCCGTGTATATCAGATGCATAAAGTGAAAGGAGAGGTGTTTTCTTGTCAGCTCTTGTTGTTGAGTCGTTAAGTCGTGTCCGACTTTTGGTGACCCCATGCCAGCTCTTAGCCTCTTCCATTTCCACGCTCAGAGCCATGCTGCCGAACATTTTCCCCACTCCTGGCCCATTTGCATTGGCTATCCATGTCGCGCCGGGCCAAAGGCAAGGTTTTGGATCTTACCGATAAGGCCCTCCATGGTTTGAAAGCTCACGACTTAACTTCCGGGAGCATCTTTCCCTAAAACGGCCAACCTGCGCCGCCCGATCTTCCCAGGTGACGCTTCTTGGTTGTGGCCTCGTCCCTTTGGAATGTTCTTCTGGTGGAGGTGCGCCCGGCCGCCTCCCTCACCACCTTTGAGAGGATGCTCAAAGCCAAAAGACTCTTCACCAAAGCCTTTGAGAGGGTCCTCTCTTAATGTTTTTTAGATTGATCATTTGATTATCCCTGCTTGCCATCGTTTGGGGTTTAAACACCAACAACAGATGATGGCTGTCGTGTACGTGCGTGGTTTTTTTTTAAGATAATATTTGTGATTTTATGTTTATGTTACTTTGGATGTCAGCCGCCCAGAGCAGGCCGAGCACTAATCGGTGTGCTATCCAAGTGTCATGAATTAATTGATTCATTGCAAAATAAATAAATACCCCCATTTCCTGGTGATTGCAGGAGATGATCAGGGACCACTACGGGGAGGACGGTGACTTGTACGAGGTGGAGATCCGAAGCCTCATGGACTTGCGGCAGGTATGTGAGAGATGTGAGGAGGTTCAGAAATCCTGCTTTGTCGTTCCAGAAGGGATGGCCTGGGTTTTGCGAGCTTTGTAGCCTGCTGTGGGCCCCGATGTGCCTCAGAGGCCTCTTCGTTTGGCTTCAGCTCTGACTGGATTCATCTTACGTCCGTGGTTCCCAACCTGAGGTAGCCCAGAGTTTCTTGCACTACAACTCCCAGAAGCCTTTGCCAGTAGCTCTACGAACTAGAATTTCTGGGCCTTGTGCAAGAACATCTGGGGATCCAGGAATGGGGACCACCCATCTATGGGATGCCTTCAGCAACCATTAGGGCCAAGCAGACGAGAGATAGTGCTCTCCGTGTGTTCCCTGACCCAAATCTCACCAAGCGGTCCTTGTGAAGCCACATTTTCTCAACCCTGGCCTCCATATCATGTGGGAATGATCAAGCTGGCCCTCCTTACAGGGTTGCTGTTTGGATTTGAACGAGGTCGTCTAATGGCGATGGCTTGAATGTTCACGAGAACTGTGGACAGCTTCTGAGTGCTGATGTTTTTATTGGGGCTTTTCACGTCACTACCGTTGCTATTCTCAACGATGACTTTAGAAGACAGCCTTTCCGGGCAGCCCTCTGTGGGGAGCATTTATATTTTGGATATTCATTGTGTTGGACCAACTCAGACAATTTGCCCACCCAGCCATTTTGCTGTGGAACGCCAGATGTTTTTGAACTACAACATCCATCAGCCCCATCCAGCATAGGTTGGGGTGAAGGATGATGGGGAATGGTAGTCCAGAGGCCTCAGGGATACCTCAGAGGCCTTTCCTCTCCAACTTCCTTCACCCTCTAAACTGGGGATTGTCAAGAAATGAACCAGAATCTTTCACAGCTCAAGGTAGATGCTCAGAGCAGCATGCAGATCATAGTCCTGGTTTATGACCACCGCTGCCTTGTGGGCCAAAATAGCCTGAGTATAACTTACATGTGGACGTCTGGTGTCGGTTCCAGCATTCCAGCCCCTTCTCTCCAGAACTGGTGAGGGAGCAAATCCGTTTTTGGGGGTATACAGATGTGCTGTGGGTTTGTTTTGCTTTCTCACCCCTCCGCTTCCCTTTCCAACAGGCCATGCGGACCCCCAGCCGGAACGACGCGGGGATGGAGCTGCTGATGGAGTATTACAGCCAGCTCTACTTCCTGGACAACCGGTTCTTCCTCCCCAACAAGAACATGGGCCTCTTCTTTCACTGGTCAGTGGGCCTTGTTGACCTCGCCCAGGGAACGGGCACATTCTCCTGGAGGGAAGAAGCCTAGCTTGAGGGGAGATTAGAGAGCACTTTTCAAATCCTTGAAAGATAGTCCCCATCCTTCCAGAGTATCCCATGATACACAACAACGGACTCAAGTTAACAGGGAGCCAGAGGTAGGCTACCTAGGAGGAAAAACTTCCTAACTGTTAGAGTAGTACAACAATGGAATCTGTTCCTATGAGAGACGCTGAGCGTTGCAAGGCTGGAGGCCTTCAAGAGAAAATTGGACGGCCTTCTCTTAGAATTTGATGTGGATTCTTGCACTGAGCAGGAGGCTGGACTTGATGGCCTTCGGGGCCCCTTCCAACTGAACTATTCTGTGAGTGTAGGACCGTTCAAAACAACCTCCATAGATGGCTTTGGGAATGCGGGGGGTCTGTGCAAAACAAAACAAACGCACACACACACACCACGCCCTCAGCCAAGGAATCGTGTGGGTTTCGTTCTTCAGTCCCCTGTTTGTTTTTCCTTGTGGAGATCACACACCCCCATTACTGTAGCCAGTCCACCCGACTTCCCATGATGGCGTCTGCTTCGTCACAGCCCAAATGGTGCCAAATCCAGCCCACCCCTCAAATCTTCCCTGCCACTGGCTGTTGCAACCTGGATCTCCCCAACAGCTTCCCATTTACGTACGAGTGCTGATGGAAAGGACCTTGTCCGACCTGGTACTTAAACAGGCTGGTGACTCCCAGTATCCCACAAACAGGGTTGCATACTATGAAAAACAACGTCTCCAAGCTGTGCTTTTTTAACCGATAAAGCCTTAACTAGCTTTGGGCCCAAGCGATCTCAAGGACCTGAAAACTATAATCAAAAATACAAGTTTTCCAGTCCTTCAAGACTCTTTTCATTCAGCTGGGGCACCCACATCTTTACTGTCTGAAGAACTTCCTCTTCCGGGAAGCGCTCCCTCAGTGACTGGCTACTAACTTTTAAAATCCTAAATGGCTTGAGTCCAAGCTCCCTCAAGGACCGTGTCTCCCAGAATCAGCCGGCTCGGCTCTTCAGATCGTCAAGGGAGGCCTTCCTCTCTGTCTCACCATCTTCATGGGTGTGTTTGGTGGGGGACACAGGAGAAGGCCTTCTCTATGGCTGCTCCCAGAGACTGTGGAACTCCCTCCCACTGGAGGCCATCTTGGCTGTCCTTCCACCAGCAGCCAAAGACCTTTCTCTTCAGGCGAGCCTTCTTCCTTCATTAAAGGGCTATCTAAGAGAGGTTATAAAACGGGATGGTTTGCATTTCCGTTGCTTTTAAACCTGTTTAAACAATAGTTCAACAAACATTTTAAAATATAAAGTTTATTTAATTCTGTTTGACGATTTGAATGATTCGCTGTTATTAGCTTTTAACACTTGTGTTTTTAATGATGTACATAAGCCACCTTGGGTCCTTTTTAAAGGAGAAAGCCCGGGTAAAAAATATTTTAAATAAAGGAATACTGCTGCAGGGATAGTTCAGAGAGCTACATTTGCTTCCTGATCTCCCCCCCCCCTCAAACCCAGCAGCCTTCCTCTAATTTTAAGGAGTGCTTTTGCCATTTTCATCATCCACCCACCCTTTCTAGGTATGATTCTCTGACGGGAGTCCCTTCTCACCAACGGGCGCTGGCTTTCGAAAAGGGGAGCGTCCTGTTCAATATCGGGGCTCTGCAGACGCAGATCGGCGCTCGCCAGGACCGTACCACCTTGCAAGGCGTGGACTGTGCCATCGAAGCTTTCCAGAAGGCGTCCGGTAGGTGATCGAACACCACTCGGAATGGTTGCCTTTGGGGGAGATTAAAGGCAGCCGTGCAACTCAAGATACGGAAAGGGCCTGGTCTTTGCTGGGCCCCTTTTGTCATAAAACTCTGCTCCAGAAACCGCTTTGGAGAAAGATAAGCAGCGCAGAGCAACGACGGATGGCCGTCACACAGCTTAGCCCTGACTGATGGATTGCTCTTCTGTGGCCCCTTTTCTCCCAGCTGTGGGGGAGGTGGCTCATGGCAGCTCCCCAGTCATTTTTTTAAAAAAGAGAAAAATTGAAAGCAACATGCAAAAAAAAAATCAAAAATTCTTAAACAGGAAATATTAAAACCCTATAAAAATAAATTCAGAAATGCCAAATCGTTTTGTTTGGTGGTTTAAGCCTCCGGCTGTGGATGATCCCTTGTACATCACGATCCACAGGGTTCCATCCAGCTCTGCAGCTCTAAGATGATTATACAGTAGGACCACAAGATCTGTGGGGAATTGATTCCAAGCCCCCCCCCCACCCCAGACTGGAAAGCCCAGAAGTATTGGCTATACCTTGCTTGGTCTCTGTCGCCATCGAGTGGCCAGTTCTGGTAAATACACCCTGGAAATACAAATAGACATTTCTGGGGTTTCTTAGTACAGTATTTTCAGCCAGCAGATAAGAGAATCAGCGGATACTGATCTTGTGAATAGGGGGCTCCTACTGTATTTAAAAACACCCTATATTGGTGGCATCGGTCGGACAACCCAACATCATACTCCTCTGCTCTGACGTCGGTCTCCCCTCAGTATAAATTGCAAGGAGATCCATGGGGCTAGGCAGATACAACATAAGCTTTGCTGCTAGTCAAGTCAAGAAGCTGGCAGCACCCCAATGTTCTTGCTGCACTGCCCCCCCACCCCATGCCTCCAGCCTCTCTCCCCACTGCCAGAGAGCGGTGCAGTACCCCCCACTTCATCTCTTCCCCATTGCTTATGGAGAAGGGGGGAGGCGGGACCTGAAGACAGCAGCCAGACCGCCGGCTGCCGGGATCTCAAGACGTAGGGTCTTCGTGTTCCCCTCCTGCCCTTCTCTCTTTAGGAATCCCTTCCCTCTGTGGGGTTTTCAAGAGGGAAGACGGAGTGCCAAGGGGGTCTCTGGTGCTCTCGGTTTTACATGTTTCTTAGTCCGAATGGTTTCAACCTGGTACAGTTTTATTTCTGTTTGGGTTTCTGTTCCCTTTTCCTGAACTGCCGAGAATAGAGCGTTGTCACTTCACGGCGTTGTATCGCCGTCAGTCCAGCAATCAGTCAGTTTGCGCTGGAGCAGAAGGATCCGTCCTGGCCATCCTGGGAGGCTCGCACGCCCGCGACTCGGCTTCCTCTCCGCTTGTGTCTTGTCTCTGCAGGGGCCTTCGACTACCTGAAGGAGAACTTCTCCAACGCTCCCAGCCTGGACATGAGCACAGCCTCGTTGCAGATGCTGGTGCGCCTGATGATTGCGCAGGTGCAGGAGTGCGTCTTCGAGAAAGCCCTGATGCTCAGCACCCAGAACCACTTTCTCACCTGCCTGCATCTGGCGCAGGAAGCTGCCAGGGTACGGCCGGGCGTGCGGATGCGACGGGCTGGGGTCGGCCGGGAGCATCCGAGGCAGAGGGGAAACTGGCCTGAAGTTCGGGAGAGTGACCGAGGGGAGGGTCAGGGTGAGGGTTGCCAAAATCGTCCCCCCCCCCATCCAAGCCAACTCTGCTCTCTGAATGGGCCAGCAAAATGTCATCAAAGCTCAGCCCGGGTCTTGATCTATCAAGCACAAGGAAGGTGTTTCATCCCTTGTCTCCACCTCCCCCCCCAACGTTCAGGGTCACCCGCTATTGTGGAGCCGTAGCCCTGAAGTGCTGAGCCTTCCTGTGATCCCCCCCAGCCCCTCATCTGTGGCCCCCCCAGCCCCTGAGCCTGTTCCTTCCGGCTTGGGGGAGAAATTGATTTTCCCAGGAATGGGGAATTGCAATGAGGTATTCCCATGTTGAATGCAAAGTATTTGCAGACAGTTGTTCTTGAATGGGCAATTAAGAGCTGTGAACTTTGCAAAACACCCGCCTGGATATTTTTATTTTGGGGGGACTCTTCTGCAGAGGGTGCCTGCCTTGCCAGATGGGTCCCGGTGCCGCTGTTTGGGAAGTCGCGGCGGTAAGTGTTTCTTGGGAGGACCTTCCTCCCATCCACCTCAACCTGCTTGTCTCTCCATCTTGGAACCTTGCAGGTGGACGAGGTTTATACGCTGGTCTACCAGACCATGACCCAACCGCACGTGAAGGACTACGTCCCTTTCTCCTGGACCACCATGGTACATGTCAAATCGGAGCACTTCAAGGCCCTCTCGCACTACTATGCCGCTATTGCACTTTGCGACGGCCCTCGTGAGTATCAAGGATCCTCCCCTTCTGTATTCCTACGGCTCCCCCTGCCCTCCCGTCTTCTCCTCTCTCTCCCCCACCCCTGGCTTCTAGGGGTTCATGGGTGATGACGCAGCTCCAGCTATAAACCTGGCTCCGTTGCTTTGGTACTCTGTGTGTGTGTGTGTTTATGTGTGTGTTTTAACGAGCCGTGCCTCAGAGATCCCGGAGAAGCAAAGAACTGCATTCGTTAGCCTTCGTCCAATGTGCGAAACTGCCATTGTTTTAACCCTTTTGGAGTTACTGATTTAGGCCTCTCAGGGGAGCATCCGTATGTCTTTTCCCGTTCGGCCCCCTTTGTTTGGTGAGAGAGGGATTGGGTTGTTGTCAGGTTCTACCCAGTTGTAGTGGTCTGTGATTCAGAGTCATTACCAGCCCTAGCAAACTCAAAGCTGTGGCTTCCTTGATGGAGTCCATCCATCTCATGTTAAGTTTTCCTCCTTTCCTGCGGCCTTCCCCCTTTCCCAGCATCGTTGTCTTTTCCCGGGAATCTTGTCTTCAAGGAGAGCACCATATATGGCCTAGTAGGAAGCAGTCAACTTTTTGGAACAAATATGAAAAGCCCACTCCAGACCCTGACGTGCACTTCTAGGGGTGAACCTTCCAGAGCCCCCCGTTTCCTCCTTCCAGAGAGTTAGGCCCACTGCCAGAACTTTGAAAAGTTCCTTTCTCACTTTCTGCCAGGGGTTGTTGTTACTGGTTTTATTTATTGGCCACCTTTCTCCCAGTTAGGGGACCTAAGGCACCTCATGGGATTGAAAAGAATACAATTAAAAACATAACAAGTTAAATATATTTAAAAAAACCACACACACACACACAGTTATAGTATCCACTAATCAAAACAAAATCAAATACTGTAATTAAAAGCAAGTAAAAATGTAAAACTATCTTAACTTTAAAAAGAGATTCAAGGGAGACCTTTTGCTGGCTGTGAGCCTGTTGGCAGGGTCTTTGACTCCCCCTCTTCCTTCCTGGATGGTCTCCTCCTGAGACTCTGGTGGGGCCGGACAGATGCCGGTTTCTCTGCCTCTCTGACCTTAATAGCTGTGGTTCCTGCCAAGGTGCTATTTTGTGAGAGGGGGCAGATATTGGGCCGTTGCCCGGGTCCCAGCTAAGCCCTTTGTTAATTGCTCACCATCTCCTCCTGTTGCTTAGAGCGGCCTTAATCCTAGTCTTCATCCTAAATTAAGAAGATTAGCCAAGGCTTTGAGCGGTGAATCATCATAAGTGCAGGCCATCTCCTTGGTACTCTCCTGGTGCGATGGGTGAGACAAGGAGCCCTGTCTGTTGGTGTCTCAGAAGGGCTGTGGAGTCCCCCAATGGGGAAGAGCCGACCCTTGCCAAGCCCCGCCAGGGAAGCTGGACACAATTCAGACACCTCTAGTAACCTTCTGGGTCTTGCTTAGTGCTTGCGCCCTTTTGCGTGGCAAGTCTGGGAGAATGTGGGTGGGGTGCCCCAACAAGCCGCTTCTTGGCTCACTAGAAATGGAAAAGAAAGCTGATGAGCCCCACCGGTACCACCCCCGCACCTACACTTCTTTCCAAAAGCTCCCGTCTTTCCCAGACGCCCCCCCCCCAAGCCTCTGAGCCTTCAGGGAAGGGAATCATAAATCCTGTGCTGTCGAGTCAATTCTGATTTTTAGCCTTTTCCAGGTAGAAGAATACTCAGAAGGGGTTCATCCTCCGCTTAGGCATCTCTGTGCAACTGGCTCAAAACTTACATAGGCTGGCGGTACTCGGGAGAAACAGTGGGGGAATCGAACTCCCAACTTTCTGGCTCTGCCGCCAGAGACCTAAACCCAGCCAACTCCCCCAGAGAAGGGAACCAACCTGCAAGACAGCAGGCCTGGTGAAGAGGCAAAGCAGCTGTGCTTCTCTGCCCTGGGAGGGAGCATCTGCTCTCGACACAGTCTCGCGACCTCCTGTTCCAATAAAGCCCCTTCCCCCTCTGTTTCTTGCAGCCCCGTCTGATACCGAGCTGCCGGAGCACGAGAAAGCTTTCCTCCAGTTCCACGTCACCACGCCCGAGGGGCCGGCCCCCCGCCTGCTCTTGCAAGACCCGGAAGAGCGGAGGAGGTTGGGTGAGTGGGTCCCCCTCCGTCCTCCTCCAGATATGAGTTGTCAGGTGCTGGGAGTATATATTCACGGCACCAGCGCTGCCTTGCTAGGGCAGAGCAGAAGCCGACTACCCCGTGTGTGTGTGCGGTCTGTCGGCCGTGGTCTGTTGACCCTTCAGGGGACCCTCCCTGTCTGTCCACGCAGGCAAAGCTCACCTCAAAAGAGCCATCATGAAGCACGAGGAAGCCATGAGGATCCACAGCATGTGCAAGATCTTGAGGAAGATGGACATCCTGCAGGAGGTCCTCTCGTGGGCCCACAAGCGGTCACTGGGCAAGTACTCGGAGATCGATCACGAGGAAGACTTCTTTGAGACGGTGGAGGCGCCAGAGATCCATCGTAAGTGAGACCAGGCTCAAAACCCTGTCCCCGATGGCTCTCCCTGGGTTCAGCGACGGAGGTGGCTTGCTTTTTCGTGAAGGTGCCACGTTGTGGCATTAACTCTGCCAGATCGTGGATCACAACCCTTGAAGGGAATCCGGCTTCTTTCTCACCTCTCTGGGGCTTCTTAGGCCCCTTCTGAACAGGTTTTTTTTAAAAAAAAACTCAGAATTTTGCAGGAAAAAAAGGACTGCATTTTGCACAGAATATTCGTCACAGGCGAATTGGAGGCTTCTGTTGGACATGGGGCTCAGGAAAAAGGGAATTGAAGCCCTGCCTTCTGACCACTGGAAGAGGGGGGGGAGATTGGGTCTCATCTGCCCATTCAGAAGTTTATACCTGTGGAATTATGAAGGGCTTGCCAGGGCAGTGTAGTGGATAGAGGGGGGGTGGGACTCTGGAGAGCAGGATTCGATTCTCCGCTCCGCCGTGGAAGCTCACTGGGGGAATGGCACTGGTAAAACCACTCTTTAAATATCTCACTTACTTTGAAAGCCCTGTTAGGGTTGCCCCCTGCAACCCCCTCCCCAAAC